ACCCATGCAGCGGAATAGCGTAACGCGGAACGAGAGCATGACCAATCGCGAGCGTTCTGCAGTTTTCGCTACGCTCACGATTGGTCCGCTCTTGTTCCGCGTTACGCTTTTCCGCTGCCATGGGTTTGCACCCAGACGGTCTTGAAATAAGAACTGACTATGAATACCGGCCTAAGTACTGTCAGCTATGAGCGCCGCTACTGCGATGCAGTAGAAACGAGAACTATACTTTTGTCCGGAGATGACCAAGGAGACTAAGGTGACCAACACGTTTCTTACTCATAAATTTTCCGTTTCGGACTTTGCATCGTAATATCTCCGTTTATGTTATATGTAGAACGAAAATAAAGATGCTTTTCTTATATAAATCAAACTCAAGCTATCGATTAAGCCTAGTAAAAACTCGATCCATTCAGCGGTTATTGCAATCTAATAATCTCAAGTACTCTCAACTAATCGACTCGCGTAAAGATACACGGGGTGCCTTGCTGTCGTTACGCGCGATCTTTGGCTTCGCGTGACTTGGCGCGAGACACTACCGTGTCTCTTGATTTTTATATGAAAATATGTAGAAAACCTGATACCAACTAGGGCAACACTACTTTAAAATTACAAAAAACGAATTTACAATGTACTCTATTTGGCTTTACAAATGGTTCGAATCGTTTTTGATATATCAATTAATACAAAAGTGACAATAATTTTTTTTTTTTGTTAATTAGTTAAGCAAAAATAAGTTAAATTTGCAGAATAATCTTTTTCGCAGAACTTTGTTTTTGAAAGAATTAATCGTGAAAATAAGTAATATGTTTCTACTTTTTTAAAGTCTTAAAGAGTCTTACAATTAGTCTTAAAATGTCTCTGACGAAATTGTGTTATACATTTACCTTGACTAATTGTAAGTCTATTGAAATAGTCATAAAAGAATACAATATCCTCTCTAACTCTTTAAAAAAATAAAATTTATCTTAATAGCTATATTCATATTACCAAATGTAAATTATTTTAAATTGTTTTACTAATAGTAATGTTTTACTTTTATATTATTAATGTGTATTCAAAATGAATTTGAACAATAAATACAATATATACAAAGTTATTGAAAAGCATTCAAAAGTTTAAAATGCGTAAATATTTTACTTACTTTTCAAATTCCGAAGTCAATTTTCTCGAGAGAACAAGATCTCGAAAAAATTGTATTTTCATATTTTCGATTTGTTTTATATCAATGTTGTATAATCATTCTTTATCCGGTTGTACTACGACTAGATTCCATTTATACTGGAACATTTTGTGTTTCTATAATCGACGCATTGACGATAATTCTATTTTTTTATTAGTAACATTCATATACATTATTTTAATTACTTCTGATCCCAATATATTAAATTATATTTTATATTATCTCAATACATTAAATTAAATAATATTTTGTTATGTACGAAACAATTTATTCGGGCAAAATACATAGGTTAGAAATGATACAAAAGGAGAGAATAAATAGAAATGTTTATTAAAGCATACTATTGTGTATTTGATAAGAATTATTCTCTTATTCACAAAAGATAAAGTATGTGCATTATACAGTAATATAATAAAATAAATTATTGATCGAATCTTATACTATAAAAGTTTAGTTTAATATAATTATTATCTTAATTTATTTTAATTAAGACAGAATAGCAAATAAAGAACATGTATCGCAAAAATATATTCAGCAAATATACATATATAAAACTAGTCATTTAATTACTAGAAAATAAGTAGTAGACAGTTATAAACACTCAGAGTTTTATTTTATAATATTTTCTACATATATACACAAACACAGATATTATCTTCTCTCTATTTTCTATTATAGTTTCTCTAATCTTTTATTGTCAGCAACATAGAGAAGTATCCCATTGCCGTTTTCACCATCTAAACAGAGTAAAAATGAAAAATAAGAGTATTTAAATTTTAATGTCGGTGTAAACTGGCAGTATCGAGCCAAGCGCGGTATAAAGAGCGCACACTGTTTATTAATTAATATAAATAGAATACACTAATCGCGGACGTTTCGGCCCTTTTTTGGGGTCATCTTCAGCGCGGAAAACAGAATAATACGGTCTTAAATAACTAAACGCAACTGCGACGTTCGGTGATGCATCCCGTGGATCTCTTACGCAACCGGTGACATCCCATCCTTAAGGGCATCAATGTCCTTCCAAAGGTAATTCCTCGAATTTCTTGGGTGGTAGATAGACATGGCAGTACTTATTTTATTTAATCTATAAGTAAGTGGGGCGGTATAAGACGGATGACCGAAAGAAGTATTGTAACAGTTGTGATGCTTACAAATGCACAGGTTGACACTGACCAATCGTAGATGTAATCGGAGAACTACACTCTCCAACTCTCGGAGGAACAATGAGACAAACTATTGTTCATGATACATTAAAACGGTACATATGACATAATGTTGGTATAGCTAGGTTCTCAACCAGACGTTAATAAACAATAAAAAACATGCAAATAAATAACACGATCCCGTGACAATGTGGAACAATTGACGCAAACGGTAAAATTAAATAACAAAAATTATAATAAAAGTCGAGAATAATAAGATTAAATTGTTGACAAGGAGCGAAGCTTATCAAGAACGGTAACAATAAATACCTAAAAAACGTCATAAATATGAAACAGTAATAATCGGTAAACATTTCGAAAATAAAATAAATAAATAATCTTAATTGTGTCAATACGGTAAAATGTGAGCAATAAGCAAACGATATAACAAATAAAACCGATCTGATATCCAAGTCGAAAAAAGCTAAATGTTGATAAAAAGGTTGTCAAATAAACTAAAAAATGCAGAATACAGTAAATAACATCTCGGATGATAAACTTCTTCAAATGGTGTCAAAACGGTAAAATGATCGTCTTAATTATAAACATATAAATAGAAAAATATAAAAAAGTAATAAATATGGAAAACAAAGAAATAAAAGAGCCGAAACGTCCGCGATTAGTGTATTCTATTTATATTAATTAATAAACAGTGTTCGCGCGCTCTTTATACCGCGCTTGGCTCGGTACTGCCAGTTTAAACCGACGTTTAAACAATTATTATTTCGGTAAATATGCATATTAGGTTACACCTCACCGATGACTTTGACCTTGACATATGTTGCAGTTGTGATGCTTACAAATGCACAGGTTGACACTGACCAATCGTAGATGTAATCGGAGAACTACACTCTCCAACTCTCGGAGGAACAATGAGACAAACTATTGTTCATGATACATTAAAACGGTACATATGACATAATGTTGATATAGCTAGGTTGTCAACCAGACGTTAATAAACAATAAAAAACACGCAAATAAATAACACGATCCCGTGACAATGTGGAACGATTGACGCAAACGGTAAAATTAAATAACAAAAATTATAATAAAAGTCGAGAATAATAAGATTAAATTGTTGACAAGGAGCGAAGCTTATCAAGAACGGTAACAATAAATACCTAAAAAACGTCATAAATATGAAACAGTAATAATCGGTAAACATTTCGAAAATAAAATAAATAAATAATCTTAATTGTGTCAATACGGTAAAATGTGAGCAATAAGCAAACGATATAACAAATAAAACCGATCTGATATCCAAGTAAAAAAACGCTAAATGTTGATAAAAAGGTTGTCAAATAAACTAAAAAACGCAGAATACAGTAAATAACATCTCGGATGATAAACTTCTTCAAAAGGTGTCAAACGGTAAAATGATCGTCTTAATTATAAACATATAAATAGAAACATATAAAAAAGTAAATATGGAAAACAAAGAAATGAAAAAATAAATATGTGTAATAGGATCGTCTTAATGATCGTCTTAATTATAAACATATAAATAGAAAAATATAAAAAAGTAATAAATATGGAAAACAAAGAAATAAAAGAGCCGAAACGTCCGCGATTAGTGTATTCTATTTATATTAATTAATAAACAGTGTGCGCTCTTTATACCGCGCTTGGCTCGATACTGCCAGTTTACACCGACATTTGATTTTAGTCATACGAGCCGTACATTCAATTATATATTTAAATTTTGTTTTATTTTTATGGTAAACTATGATTATATATAATATAACATGCATATGTAAAATATGATATGCAAGATGTTCCACAATTATACAATACTTCTCTTTTTAATAGCATGTTATGCAGATTAATTAGAATAAAAAATTCTACTGCTCGGACATGAAGTAAATTTAGATGGAAAAACATTCATCTTTGTTTTCATTGGAAGGTCCCATATAGCACATAATATAACAACAATATCACAGGAATTATTATTTTTCCATAGCAAGATTACAATCAGATATAATATGAATATTTCTGAAATATTACAAAATGATAGTAATATTAAAATGTCCGCCAAAATGAATCGCAATAATATAATGGTGACATATCACAATTGTATTATTGTAATATTTATGTAATATTGCGAGAAATTAGATCATTTTAATATTTTTATATTACAAATATATTGTAGTTGTGTTATTGTATAATTCCTAGCGGAATTGTCATGACATAAAATATTATGTTAATACAAAAAAGATTATAATATTCTAACAAGAATATTAATTTTTATTATATTAACATAATATGTTAAAGGTTTGTTATGGATTTAGGTATAATAAAGCAGAACGTGTTTATATTATAAGAATATTACTGCTGAACAGTTATCTTTATTACTATAGAAAGAAGGGTTATGCTATACGTGACTTTCCGTACCACCAGTACAAAAGCATTGAGAGAGAGAGAGAGAGAGAGAGAGAAAAAGGACAGTAAAAGTAGACGCGCACGCCGCGCAACTGAACTCTCTTCCCGCGAAACTCAAACTCCTATCATTCCCTCATTTTTGAATTTCGTGGAGGAACTTAAACCTAATCTTTCTACATGCTCTCCATATGTTTTTCTCGGTATCGCTTTGGTAAATATATCTGCAACATCCAATGTGCTTGGTAACTAAGTATGAGAGTACCATTATCTATCTTTTCTCGAACATTATGAAAAGCTATATCTATATGTTTTGTCTTATTCTTTTCTATTCTGTTCTTCGCAAAGTCTATGGCTGCTCAGTTATCACAAAACAACTTGTAGGATATGCTAATCCATTGATTTAGTTCTAATTCTTCAATAAACATTTTTAGCTAACTTGCTTCCTTGACAGCATTGGATAGAGCGACATACTCCGCTTCCATTGTCGACATTGCTATACATTTTTGTCTAGATGCTTTCCAATCGATAATATTTCCTCCTAGCGCAATTATTGTCCCCGTAAATGAATGTCTGTCATTTGTGTCTCCGCGTCGCTCCAGAGTTTTATACTTGGTTCGTCGCTACCATAGTGCAGGCAATGTTTCATAGTGCTACCTAAATACCTAAGCGTTCGTTTTGCTTCAGTCCAGTGTTTTCTTCCTGGATTCGATGAAAATTGAGCTAACTTGGATACAGCAAACGCTATATCGGGTCTGGTACATTGACTAATGTATCCGAGCGATCCAACCAATTCTCGACATGGGACATTTTTCATACCCTGCCTTTCATCATTCGTTTTCGGTGAATCTTCTGATGATATTGAGTTCCCTGGTTCCAGAGGAATATATGCTGGTCGGCATTCTTGCAAACCATATCGCTCTAGTAACTCTTGAATATATATTTCTTGGTTCATTTTTATGCCGCCTCCGGACTTCTTTCGATATTCACACCAAGGCTTTGTACTTGTTCTGTATCATCTGGACTATCTTATTTATAACGTCTGGATATCTGGAAAATACTATAATGTCATCGACGTATATTACTAAAAATGTACAAAAATCATAGCGATAAGTGCACTTAGATGAAACGTATAAAGCCGATTTCAATCAGGAAGCTATCCAAGGCTTCGTTCCAGTTATGTCCACTTTGTTTCAGTTCATAAATTGGTCTAAGTAATTTGACAGTCGTCTTTTCATTCTTGTGTAATGCCGGTAATCTCATATATAGTTCTTCCTTTAAGTGTCCATTCAAATAAGCACTTTTTATATCGATGTGACGTGTTATCCATCCGAAGGTTACTGACATCGTCAGCAAAAATCTTACTATAGCAAATCTTGTAACGGGAGCATACGTCTGATCATAGTCTATTCCTTCCTTTTGGTTAAAGCCCTGTGCAACCAGTCTGGCTTTATATCGTGCAACATGTCCGTTCGTGTCACGTTTCAGTTTGAAGACCCATTTGCTATCGATGCAATTTTTATTCGCTGGTAGTTCAACAATTTCCCAAGTTTTTAACCATTCTAAATTATTTAATTCTTCTTCCACTGCCTTTATCCACTCGTCTGATTGAGGTGATGTCAGCGCTTTTTCTAAGTTCTGTGGTTCTCTTATCTGCATTAAGTTTAACTCTACTTTATCTTTCGGTTTACTCTTGCAACCATATGGATTTCTTATTTTCTTTTTAGGTCTACCTGGCGCTAGTTTTTCGATTTCGTTGCTTAACGCCCCCACTATCTTCTCACTTTTAGCATCCATTTGTTCATTGTGCTCATCTGAAGATTCTTGGTCACTATCCTCTGCCTTGCGCTGAGCAATGCTTTTAGATCGTGTTTTTATTGGCTCGGTTCTTATGTATTGTTCTTTGCTGCTCTTATCATCACTTTCTTGCTGAGCGTCTGCTTGCGTGTCATTCGATTCCTGCTCCCTTTCTGAAGATTCACTATAAGGAAACTCGAATAAAATTTTACTTGTTGTAACCTCTGTCGGTTCGTACCCTAATTTAGTCTCACCGAATCTCACGTGTTTGGTCTGAATAATTTCTCCCTTTTTAATATTCCATAACCGATATCCTTTGGTTTGGCTAGAATATCCGACAAGTATACATGTGCGAGCTCGAGGATCTAGTTTTTTTCTTCCTTGATGAGGTAAATGTGCGTAAGCTAAGCATCCATAGGCCTTGAGGTGCTTCACGCTTGGTGATTTTTCGTTCCATATTCCCTCCGGAATTCCATCTTCTAGGTTAGCATGAATCATTCTATTTCTCACATAGGTTGCTGCGCTCGTTGCCTCAGCCCAGAAAGAGGGCGGTAATTTTGCAGAAGTCAGCATGGATCGAACTAAGTCCATTAAGATCCGATTAGTGCGTTCAGCTACGCCGTTCATTTGAGTAGTTTCTACGCATGACTTTTCATGTTTGATGCCTAACTTGTCGAAGAAATCTTGTAATTCCTTATTACAATATTCGAGCCCATTATCCGTTCTAAAGCGTTTTATCTTCAAACCTTTATCTCTCTCAACTTTGCTTATAAAGTTTTTAATGTTATGAACTACCTTGTCCTTACTCTTCAAAAAATAAACCATTATTTTACGAGAATAATCGTCTATTAGTGTTATTATGTACCTTGAACCGCCTATAGATGTAACAGGCATGGGGCCGCACAAGTCAGAATGGATTAGTTCCAACACGCCCCTCGATTGACGCCCATTGATACGTTTACATGGTACCTTAGTAGATTTTCCAATGCAGCATCCATGATAAAGACCTGAGTCTACTTTGTGATAATCTAATCCGCGAACAAAACCTTTTTGTCTTAGTTCCTCTATGCTTTTATTATTGATATGACAAAAACGTCTATGCCATAAATTTTGTTCTGTCATGCTTGCAGTGTGTAGTTTAATTATATCTTGGGTTTTGGGATTTATTACATCTGCTTGAACTATATAGAGGTTATCTAATCTACGAGCTTCAAGTATCCGTTGACCCGTTTTTCCATCCACGACACGGGCTAAACCGTTTTTAAATTCTAATATCCTTCCTTCCTTTTCTATCTGAGCCACTGACATCAAATTTCTTCTGCATTTAGGTGCATAATAAACGTTCTGCAAGATCACTTTGTAGCCTTTATGATTGATTTTGACTTGCAGTTTTATATCACCAACTCCTTCCGCGGTTAGTGATCCCTCGTTCTGATAAACTGCTATTTCAGCAGTACCAATGGGTTCAAGTTTAATACTTTTTAGGTTCTCAAACCACTCTCCATTTTGACAAACGTGGTGCGTTGCGGCACTATCTATTAACCAAGCATCCTGTGACATAGTGCAATTTGCATCCGTGAATAAAGCAATCTGTTTTTTCTTGGCAGTATCGCTCTTATCACTTTTTCTTTCTTTGTTTCGGCATTGTTTTGCAAAATGTCCTTGTTTACCGCAACTAAAACATTTTCCTAATTTAGTATATTTTTCAGAAAAGTTTTGCTTACCTTTTTTTCGTCTGATATGCGGCGATCTTATTTTTTTGCTGTTCATCCTTGCATTTGGACATTAGTCTATCATACTCCATGGTTAGGGCTTTCCTTATTTTGGTAGAAGTAAATTTCTCGTCCTCCAGACTTGCGAGTGTCATCGTGAGAGCATCGTAGGTTTCAGGAAGACCAGAAAGCATAGCATACGCCAAGTCTTCTTCCTTAATCTCTGCTCCTGCTTCACGTAAATAATCTGAACAGATTTTTAGTCGACTTGAGTATGACTCCATGTTTTCGTCATCTTTTAACCGAATTCGAACAAATTGTCTCTTTAGTTGCATTATTCGCTGCCTCGACTCTGGTTCATATATTTCTTCGAGGACCAACCGTGCTTGCCTCGCCGTTTCACAGTGTACTATATGAATTTGTTGATCTGGATCTATCGATAGAGCAATGGTTGATAAAGCCTTTTCATCTTTCGACTTATGTCTTATCTTTTGCTCAACCGTGGCATCATCTTGTAATATAGTGGATTTATTTACATAATCCCACAATTCTCTTTGTATCAATAACATCTTCATAGCAAATTTCCATGTTTGATAATTATTGCTATTCAGTCTATCAACTCGATCGAACGCATTTACATTTGCCATGTCTAGATTAGATTGTACTCACAATTTCGTATCCGCAATAGAAACGTCCTGGGCCCATAACCTTATTAAAGGTTTGTTATGGATTTAGGTATGATAAAGTAGAACGTGTTTATATTATAAGAATATTACTGCTGAACAGTTATCTTTATTAGTATACAAAGAAGGGTTATGCTATACGTGACTTTCCGTACCACCAGTATAAAAGCATTGAGAGAGAGAGAGAGAGAAAGAAAGGACAGAATAAGTAGACGCGCACGCCGGGCAACTAAACTTTCTTCCCGCGAAACTCCAACTCCTATCATAATATTTTAAATAATGATATGTGGAAGAATTATGCAATAAGACAACCACTCATGGTGACAGTTTCTTTTTCGTAATCTCACAGAGACAATCACGAATTATTAATGAATAATTCATATATTAGAATTTTTATTTTATACATTTATTTATTATAGCAATTTTTATATTATTATATATTATGGCAATAAATAACTTACTCACATGAGAAAAATAATATGTTTTTATCCATTAAAAATAAAGTTAGCTTCGAAATCCATATCAGATAGCAGATTTTAATATGTATGTAAGTTACGAATTTGAGCGTGTGCTAATTATACGCTATATCAATCGATCAACTTTAATTGCATATAACTCAAAAACATATTGTGTTATCGGCATTGTCGATTATTAAGATTTTTTATTCTGATTAATTCACAGATTTGAAGTATTGTATATGTACAGTAGTTTTAAGATATATTTTGTATATATAATTCTATATAATTAAACAACAATATTTAATTAATAACATATTAAGGAAACGATTATTTGTATGAGCATCACACAAAAAATAATATATTTTAAAGAATAAGTCTCTCACTGTTCCGAACAACTCCATCGAAAAATATCCGAATTTTCCAGCTGTTAATTTAAGCGGTATTAAAGATCCACATGCAATAATCATTAAGTTCTTCGCATCTTTGGCCGGTATATTATACCACTTGCATTCATACACGCTATACGCCATACTAGTGTTCTGAAAATTACAATTTTTATTTTACACAAATCATGCTAACTTACACGCTAACAATTATCTTACCTCTGTTAAGAGTCTTTCAGCTGAGTAGCAATAAATGTACAAATGCGTCAACACAAGAACAACATAAAACGAGATAAAAGCCATTTTGAAAACAGATACATCTAATTTGTCTATTATTATCTGAAGATATATATGTTTCTCTCAGCGCAAATACGTATAATAGTATAATTATGCCGTAATATTAAAGTTAAATGTATTATAATGTGAAAAGAATTAACTTTATTATTATATATGTGTATGTGTATGTATATATATGTGTATATATATATACATAAATTGAATAATCTTTTTATTATAATATATGCAAATACTCAAATAAAAAGAAAATATACTTATACAGTTATTTTCATATTTATAAGCATATTGTTAGAAATCATTCTACTTACCGTGTAAATTCGAAAAGTTTGGAAACATAGTTGAAAAGTAGCACACAACATGTGCACAAATAGCACTGCGCTGTAACAATTGTTGATTGTCTTTACATTCCTTGAAAAATTATTTATATTATTCACTCGTTATAGATTGTCGACTTTACTATAACTATAATACTTTATTATAACTCCAATATGTATTAAGAGAATGAATGCACTTGAAAATGACTAAAACATCAAAATCTTTTTGTTATTTATTTTTTTTTAACGTGAAAGACGATAAGATTATAAGATATAATTTTCTTTAATTATTTTGGAATTTATTAAATAATTTCTGTAATACATGAATATATCTAACTGTGTTTAAAAAGAATATTGAAATGGTAATAAAAATAGTATCAAAACCTTCGAAACGTTTTCCTGTAAAATCGTGTTTTACCACATTAAAATACATTTGTTTTTGGAAAACATTCTGGTCCAATTATTAATCATTTTTTTAATTCGGAAATAAATAAACTATGATTTAATCGTTTTGTTTAACAAAATTAAACATAATGTTAATATAATTTTATTAAAAGTTACGAGTGATTAATTGCCAAAGAAATGATTTTATTTAAATTATAATTAAAATTCAAAAAGTTGATTAAAATGTAGTCAAACATATAAGAAAGAAAATAGAAAAAACAAGCTAAAAATTATGCAAATTAGAAACATCCTCATCATTTTATTTCGCTTACAAAGCTTAAACTCCTTAAAGCAAGCGGATTTTTTAATTTTGGCTTCCTCATAGAGAAAGATATCTCAAAAATTGCAAAAGTTAGGATGTACACAGACATTTCTCAAAAATTTTAAAATTTTATAAAAAATAAACCTTTCACCGATTCTTACCAAATTCAATACCAACTATCCTTTAATAATACTCTATTCATGTAAAAAAATTTAATACGATATCTAAAAATTTGCGAAAGTTACAACGTGTACAGACATTTTCCAAAAAAATTAAAATTTTATAAAAAAAAAGAATTTTTTCACCAATTTTCACCAAATTCAATATCAATCATCCTCTAATAATATTGTATGCATGTAAAAAAATTAAACCCGATATTTCAAAAATTGCGGAAGTTAAAGGTTGTACAAACATTGCATGCATGCATGCATGCATGCATACATACATGTATACATACATGCATACATACATGCATACATACATGCATACATATAATACATGCATACATACATACATTTTTTAGGATTATGATTTCTCGATGTTTTAGAACATTCTGAATACATTGGCATTAAAAACTCGAAAAAAAATGTTGTCACGGAAACAAAGCTTCCTCTATAAGGAAGCGAAAATTGGATATATGAACCTACTCTTTTAAACTGAATCAATGAAAATTTTATTGATTAAAACTGTCAAAATTTCGCTGCAAATCAGTGATTATTTTATTGATTTTCAGTGAAAATACTCATACTTTGCTTCTCCGTCTTATGAGTTTCACTGGTTATGGTAATAAGATTTTACTGAAAAATCAGCCATTACCACCAACTCGTTTTTTTTTATCAGTAAGACATCACTATTTGTAATGCTATACTAAAACCCTACTGCTTATCAGTGATAACACGCTGATTCTATTTAAGAGAGCAATATTAAGAAAAAAAGATATAGAGATAGATTGTTTTATTAAATAATTATGCAACTGTATTTCCTTAAAAAAAGTAATTTATTTTTAATTTTTAGTAAAGTGATTTGATTTTTCATTTTCTATCGTTTATATTTATATTTGATGAAATTTTAAAATATATGTAATGTTTAAAAGCCCATTATGTATATAGAAAAATCTTGCTATATCAGAACATATGATTGTTTATTAGGTATCGAATAAAAATATATTTTTTCTAATATGATAATTACGAGAGAAATATGTGTTACACTGTATTTTTAAATATTTAATAAAATTATTCTACAAATACTTTAAGACATACCTGATAAGATGTTTATGTCGTACAGCGACCGCGGCTAAGCCTTCTTTAAATTTCGGGTAGGATATAGATTTATTGGCTAGTTCATCGATTGAATTGTTGAGTGCCACTCGTAGATTTATTAGTTGCGCGCATATATGCAGCAAGAGCATCGAGATAAAGCTGTCGATGGTACAGTTGATTAGTGCCGAGTATATTCCGCCGAAAAGTTGGATGACAAATGTGATTTCGTAATTCGGACTCTTCTGGGCGTTGTAAGGATAAACAAAATGATAGATGAAGCTCCGTTGAGGCTGATGAATATTTTGATAAAGTTTCAGAAGATTAAAACATATGGCAAAGGAGACTGTGATCGTCGCGATTGCGTAACATCTAAAAGATAAGCTTCTGCCACGTCTCGCGAACCTCAGCATCGTATTTCGTTCGCGCTTGTTCGTCGAATTTATCCAATCGGTCATGACTGATATCATCAACGTTCGAAGTGCTTTCAAATTAAACATACACATATATTGATACGTTAAACATATGTAGCTCATAGCAAGTCAAATATAAACCGAACTTTCTCCAAAATATTTCATTCGATCAATTTATTTATAATAAAAAAAGAAATTTGTTTAATATGTTTATTGTTGCAAAATAATTGCTTACTTTCGCTGTGATACCAAGTAGCGAATAACTTGCTCAATGCCATCAAACTAAAATTGGCCGCGGCTATATCATCCACCATACGAGCCACATTACCCCAAACACGAATCATATTTATTAATTGCGGTATTATCACATAAAAACTCAGGATACACGTAACAACTATGAATGTCACGTTTAGCCGACGAAAGTTTCTTAAAGGAACACATGGATCGGGCCATAGGCCTAACAGTCGCAAACATTGACGGCTCAAGGTAAACGCGTAATTCAAATCTAAGAAATTCAAATTTTCTAAATAATATTATCACTTAATTTGAATAAAATCTTCTTTCTTTTCAAAATCTTTCTTTTTTTTTAAATGTCATTTTCAAACATTTTCCTTTTTTATATAGGTATTAATAATTCATTAGTGAGTTTATGAGCTGCTTGATATCTTTATATTCACGTTTCATGAAGTCGTAGGAGTGACAGTAAACTTTTCTATATTGTGCTTATTTTACTAGTAAAACACTATAATAAAAATGACTATTAATATTAAGCTTATATTCGGTAATAAATAATAATATAGATAAATAATAAATAAAAAAAAATAATATTCTTTTGTTAAAATAAGGTTTTATATGTTTAACAATAATTTATTTGTGTTTTAGAATACACTGTTTTTACACATGTACAGTTTATGTCTCAGTAATGCTCTCTTCGTTTAGGGAGTAAATCTTTTTTCGCAAGAGACATATGTTTTTACAAGATTTTGCATTATCATCCTGACGTAAAATCGTCGTTTCATTTTTGCTTTATATTCCTAGAAGTTAAACTTTTCTGGAACTTTGCTTATATGAGAGAAAACAAAGAACGATTCATGCACAACTCCGTCATTTGATTTATGCACTAGGCAACTTTGCAACTAAAAACATGTTCAATCTACGCGTAGGAAGCAAACATTTTTTACTAACGTACAAAGTTTAATATCAACTCTGACAAACTTTCATGAAACATGAAGTTTTAGAAGTGATCTATAGACGACTGCAATAGACCATAAACTCTTGCGAGCGTTTGTAACAAGTAGCTAATTGTAAGAGCGAAATGTTTCCTTTATTTAACAAATAATCTTAAATTATGTGATTATTATTATATATTATTTGCTCCCACATCTTTGTTAGTTAAACGTTTAATAAAGAACATATTAAATCATAGTCCAGATATAGTCACTTCAGCTGAAAAAAAAATTGTTATGTTAACAAAATATATAAGCACACATGCAAAATAAAAATAAAATATTTCAAATTTAATCAGCAACAGGATAAAATTAAGAAAATATGAAAGACAACATATATCTTTCAATGTATATCCTGTAGAAAACAACATATATCACATAAAGCAAATTTTGTAGTTAGTTTGTAATTTGTGCACACAAATTAGTTTGTAATTTGTACACCTTTCATAAGCACACTTGGATAGTAGTGTAGTGATAATTAATTCTCACTGAAATTTTTTTTTTTTTATGGGAGTTTAAATATACTGCACAAACATATACACACACATTATCAAAAACATGTGATTTTATACTCTACTTATTATTACGTAACTATTTTAGGTAAAACGATTATATTTTTAACAGAAATAATTTTCTTCTGCTAATTTTTTGCCATTTTTTGGAAACATATTCTACCTTTATTGATATTCATTGATGTTCACAGAGCGAAAATTATAGTTGGACTGAATCGCTCTTCGCGAATGTAAATCGCTGTAATTTCGCGCTTGCTCAGTACATGAAGGGTAAACCGCTACCATCTGTGAGTATCTCTTTAAACCCTTTGGAATAATCGATAATGATACGAATAACACATAATTACAGCTGAATTAGATGAGTATGCAGTGTGCACTTTTTGACTATATATTAGTTACTTGCTCGATGAGTTCTCGCGAGTTCATAAACATATATACACGTACAGTGTGTGTTAGATGCATTCAGAACAAGAATGAAAAAAGGAGATGCTTTTTCAGAATATTGTGGATATAAAACAAAAAATGAAAGAATGCAAATATTTTATTAAAGAAGATTAAATTTATTAATAAACGCTAAACACATGTGTCTACAGCGGTAAACTTTAAAAGAAAGTGAATTATATGAAAAAGTGTTTTTTTTGTAAAAATTGTCGATTATTCGACACTTGAGTGTTGCAAAATGTTCCAATATATGTATATGATGCCAATATTAGTGAAATGTTTTTCTGTGATTTGTGTGCACGTGAGAGATTATTTTATGATGTTTGTATGTCAGTGAAATAATTTTCTTTGATTAGTGCACAGTGTGTTACTGTACTAAAAACAAAACACAATTGAAGTTGATCTGTGTATGAAGTAGACGATTGTATATAGTGTCTCTTTCGCATTTTCAAATGAAAATTGTTCTTCTCAGTAAAACAAAAAATATAAACTTTTTTTGAATTATTTATTTTTTAAATCTATTTTGTAATATGTGTCATATTATGTATATAATGTATATTATATCTTCAACGATAAAAATGATGGATAAGTTAGCATATACAAAATATATTATTAAATGACATTTTTTTTTTTTTTAATGTTATGCAAATATTTGCAGATTTGTGTTTTCATACACGGTGTGCATGAAAACTCGGACTACGTTCGATGGATTGACTTCAAATTTTATATGCGAGTTTCTAATAAGATTCCGCATCTGCCAACGAAGCTTTTTTTTAATCCGATTTCTCATTTATTTGTTATAAAAAAAAAGATAAACTTTTTTATGGATAAGTTAGCATATACAAAATATATTATTAAATGACAGCTGATAAAACTTAACAATAGATACCTGTGGCATTATGATTAATTTTTCGAATTATATCTACACGTGCTTTAAGGGGGCATATCCGAAAAATAAGTACATTTTTTTAGATTCTTTTGCAGCGCAACGACTTGATAAAAATTTTTAATTTTTCTACAATATTAATTCAACACGTCGCCATTTTTTTATTTTTTTAAATTTTGGAAAAATGCTTGGATAGCAGATAGCTATTACAATATCCAATAAAAAAAATATAGATTTTTAATTTCAGGTATGATCTACGAACGTTTTCATGTACACCGTTCAGCCATCTAAAATTTGGTGGAGCTTCACAAATATCCCCATAAATTAAAAAAAAATTATTTTTTTAAGCTGAATATTTTTATTTTAGTAGTTAATAATATTGTATTAACATCGTAAAAAAATTAAAAATTTTTATCAAGTCGTTGCGCTGCAAAAGAATCTAGAATATGTACTCATTTTTCGAGATTTCAAAAACGGGTATGCTCTGTTAAGATTTAAAGAAATAAGCAAACACTTTAATGGTATTTTTTTATCTTGTTTCATAAACTTATGTGAATACTAACGGGGCTATATTCATACAAATTACTGCTTTTCAAAAACACTTTGCGTTATTTTTAATATAAATTTTTATTATTATAATCGTTACTACAATTTACTAATTGTTAATTTGGTAAATATAGCGAATAGGGGACCCAGCCCCATTGACCTTGACCTTCACATATGTTATCAAGGACATAATTCTGAATAACTTTTCCTTCTAATTTAATCGTCGCTCGTTGCTTATTAAAAAGTTATTAACAAACAAAAATTTGTAAAAATCAAGATTTATACATAGTCTGACAATGAAAAACTGAAGTTACTCAGAATTATGTCCTGGACAACATATGTCAAGGTCAAGGTCATTGGGGCTGGGTCCCCTATTCGCTATATTTACTGTTAATTTTGTACTAACAATTCTTAAATAATTTATAGAAAAATAATATCAGAGTAAGAATGTTTTTGATTTTTATCGATTATTAAAATTATATTAGATTTAAAGTCTTTTTTAATATAGTGTAATAATATATTTTTATATGAAAATATGTAGGAAACTTGATAACTAGAGAAACACTACTTTAAAGTTACGGAAATTAACGATGTACTCTATTTGGCTTTACAAATGGTTCGAATAATTTGATATATCAATTAATACAAAAGTGACAAAAATTTCTTTTTATTAATTAGTTAAGTAAAAATAATTTGAATATGCAGAATAACTTTTTTTTACACTAATTTGTTTCTGAAAGAATTAATTGTGAAAATAGGTAACATATTTCTACTTTTTTGTAGTCTTAAAGAATCTTAGTTTTAAAGAGTCTCTGACGAACTTGTGTTATACATTTATCTCGATTAATCGTAAGCCTATTGAAATAGACATAAAAAAATACAATATTCTCTCTAATTCTTTAAAAAAAAAATCAGATTTATCTTAAGAGCTTTTCATATTACTTAACGTTAAATTATTTTGAATTGTTTTATTAAATATATTCGAAATGAATTTAAACAGTAAATATAATATTTACAAAGTTATTGGAAATCATTTAACAGTTTCAAATACGTAAATATTTTATTTACTTTTCAAATTTTAAAGCCAATTTTCTCGAGAGAACATGATCTCGAAAAAATTTTATTCTTTATATTTTCGATTAATGTTGTATAATAATCCTTTATTATAGGTTGTACTACGACTAGATTCCAGTTATACTGGAACATTTTGTATTTCTATAATCGGCGCATTGACGATGATTCTATTTTTATATTAGTAACATTCATAATTCATATACATTATTTTAATCACTTCTGATTATATTTTATATTATCTCAATATATCAAATTAAATTATATAACATAAAATTAAATACATTACATACATAGGTTAGAAATGATACAAAAGGAGAGGATAGACAGAAATGTTTATTAAATCAAACTATTGTATTTGATAAGAATTATTCTCTAATTTGCAAAAGATAAAGTACGTATATTATGCAGTGATATAATAAAATAAATTATTGAACAAATTCTATACTATAAAAGTTTAGTTTAATATAATTATTAGCTTAATTTATTTTTAAGACAGAATAGGAAATAAAGAATCGTGTATCGTGGCGCAAAAATATATTCAGCAAATATGGTGCGGAACCCATTGTGTCCACGCATATAGTTTACAAAGCAAAGCGAGGTCCACAACTGTTGTGTGGATGGGAAAGTGTATGCGTGGATGCAGTGGGTACCGCCCCCCCTACGGGGGGGCTCCACTTTCGGAAGATGTAACCTAACCCAAATCTATTTCTGATTTAAAACTAAAATTTGGTTTGGGTTGTGGGGTGAACTCTATAGTACATAATTACCTAATTTTCGGTAATTCTTGGGGTTTTTCGTTTTTCGGAAGTTGGGGGTGATGGTGAACGGGCTTCCCCGACTGATTATCACTGTTACAGTCGCAACAAAAAGTTTTACCGAGAGATCCGATCATATTTGTCAAAATTCAGAAAAGACCTTATTCAAAATAATTACCCTTTTTTGGTCTATAACTTATTTTTTGGGGCCTCCCCCAACTGCAAATGGTTATTTATATTTTTTTCTAAACATAAAAAGTCCGTAAAAAAATTTGCAGCCCATTTGCAAGTGGAGCCGTGATTTTGAATAATTACCATATTTTTATATTACAAATATATTGCAGTTGTGTTATTGTATAAATCCTAACGGAATTGTTATAACATAAAATATTATGTTAAGACAAAAAAAATTTATAATATTCCAACAAGATAATTTTTATTATATTAACATAATATTTTAAATAATGATATTTGGAGGAATAATGCAATAAGACAACCACTCATGATGACAGTTTCTTTTCGTAATCTCACAGAGACAATCACGAATTATTAATGAATAATTCATATATTAGAATTTTTATTTTATACATTTATTTATTATAGCAATTTTTATATTATTATATATTGTGGCAAATAATTTATTCACACGAGAAAAATAATATGTTTTTATCCATTAAAAATAAAGTTAGCTTCGAAATCCATATCAGATGGCAGATTTTAATATGTATGTAAGTTACGAACTTGAGCGCGTGCTAATTATGCGCTATCAATCGGTCAACTTTAATCGCTTGTGTTATCGGCATTGTCAATTATTAAAATTTTTTATTCTAATTAATTGACAGATTTGAAGTATTGTATATGTACAGTAGTTTTAAGATATATTTTGTATATATAATTCAATACTATATAATTAAACAACAAGATTTAATTAATAACGTATTATGAAAACGATTATTTGTACGAGCATCACACAAAAAATAATATATTTTGAAGAATAAGTCTCTCACTGATCCGAGCAACTCCATCGAAAAATTTCCGAATTTTCCAGCTGTTAAGTTAAGCGGTATTATAGATCCATATGCAATAATCATTAAGTTCTTCGCATCTTTGGCCGGTATATTATACCACTTGCTTTCATACACGCTATACGCCACACTGGTGCTCTGAAAATTATATTTTTTATTTTACACAAATTACGCTAACTTATATACTAACAATTGTCTTACCTCTGTTAAGACTTTTTCAGCCGAGTAGCAATACATGTACAAATTCGTCAACGTAGCAACAACATAAACCGAGAGAAAAGCCACTTTGAAAACAGACACATCTAATTTGTCTGTTATTATCTGAAGATATGTTTCTCTTAGCGTAAATACATATAATAGTATAATTATGCCGTAATATTCAAATTAAATGTATTATAATGTGAAAAAACTTAACATTATTATATATGTATATGTGTGTATATATATAGGGGAAAGTAGGGTAAAACCGGGTACTTTTTTGGATTTGTCTTCCTACAAAAAATTTGTGAGTAAAAAAAGTTTTGCCGACCGTTAGTAGTCTTTGGCGAACTTTAAACTATGAGAAAATAAGGCTACTCGCTGAAAAAAAAACTTTTAGTTATCAAGAATAACAAGATTTTGTGGAGAAGTCAAAGTATCCGGTTTTGTCCTACCGGTAGTGTCAAACCGGGTACCCATTGCTAGAGAACTTCTTTATTTAACTTTTCAACTTTAAAAGTCTCAAAAAGCTTTGTGTTAATGATTTCTGTTTCTGAACTTGAAAGTATTCGTTTCCAACTGCTCTTTGTAGGAACACTGAGTCAAGATAACAGTTCTTCCTCTTTTCATTATATGAGATATGTAAGTACCTGATTTTGCCCCAACACAAGGAAAGTAACAAATACGGCGATTGTATATTCCGACGTACAAAGTGCCGATCAAAACTAATCTGATATCTCTCATATGTACAGAATGCAATGCTGCACTTACCGAAACAGATGTTCTATATAGAAAAAGTGCACGACGACTCGATTTTTGCCTCGATATCGATCTTTTTTGGACTAAAAACTTTGAACTTCTATTAAAAAAGAAATATTGTGTGCACAGGGGCACGGTTTGTTCTAAACTTTAAACTAATGATGGCGCCAATCTACAACTAATAACACAAGTTAGCCATAGATTGCAGCATTTATTACGAAAAAACAGGAGTACCCGGTTTGAGCCGCCTACCCGGTTTTACCCAACTTTCCCCTATTTATATATATAATATATATTATTTCTATATATATAAATTGAATAATCTTTCTATTGCAACATGTGCAATTATTCAAGTAAAGAGAAAATATACAGTTATTCTTATATTTATAAGCGTACTTATGAGTCATTCCACTTACCGTATAAGCTCGAAAAGTTTGAAAACATAATTGAAAAGTAGCTGTTAACATGTATATAAATAGCACTGTGCTGTAACAGTTGTTGATTTTCTTTACATTCCTTGAAAAATTATTTATATTATCCACTTGTTATAGATTGTCGACTTTATTATTATTATAATTCCAATATGTATTAAGAGAGTTAATGCATTTGGAAATGACTAAAATATCAAGATCTTTTTCATTTTTTTTTTTTAAGATACAAGAAAGATGATAAGATTATAAGATAATTTTCCTAAATGTTTTGGAATATATAAAATAATTTTTGTAATACATGAATATATCTAACTAGTTTAAAAAGAATATTAGAATATTAATAAAAATAGCATCAAAACTTTCGAAACGTTTTCCTGTAAAATCGTGTTTTACCACATTAAAATACATTTGTTTTTGGAAAACATTTTTTTAATTCAAACCATTTTTGGAAACCATTTTTTTAATTCAAAAATCAATAAATTATGATTTAATCGTTTAATTTAATAAAATTAAATAATTTAAATATAATTTTATTAAAAGTTACGTGCGATTACCGTTGCCCAACAAATTGATTTTGTTTAAATCATAATCAAAATTTAGGAAGTGTCGATTAAAATGTGGTCAAACATATGAGAAAGAAAATTAAGAAAAAATTGAATATTTGAAATTACTCTTTTAAACTGAATCAATGAAAATTTCATTGATTAAAGCAGTGTCAAGATTTCGCTGCAGATCAGCGATTATTTTATTGATTTTCAGCGAAAATACTCATACTTTCTTTTTCCGTTTTATGAATTTCACTGATTATGGCAATAAGATCTTACTGAAAAATCAGCCATTACCACTAACTTGTTTTTTTCATTATCAGTAAGACTTCACTGTTTTTGTAATGCTATACTAAAACATCCACTGCTACAGCTCTACTGCTTATCAGTAAAAACACGTATTTAAGAGAACAATATTATGAAAAAAGAATATAAAGATAGATTATTTTATTAAATAATTGCGCAGTTGTATCTCCTTAATTAAAAAAAAAAAAGTAATTTATTTTTAATTTTTAATAAATTGATTTATATTTATATTTAAATCTGATAAAATTTTAAAATGTTTGTAATGTTTAGAAGCTCTGTCTAGAAGCCCGTTATGTATAAAAAAAATCTTCTTATATAAGGACATATATCTCTATTTATTAGGTATTGTATATACTTTTCTTCTAATATGACACTTACGAAAGAAATATGTGTTACACTGTATATTTTTTAATATTTTATAAAATTACTCCACAAATACTTTGAGACATACCTCATAAGATGTTTATGTCGTATAGCGATCGCGGCTAAGCCTTCTTTAAATTTCGTGTAGGATATAGATTTATTGGCTAATTCATCGATCAAATCGTTGAGTGCCATTCGTAGATTTAATAGTTGCGCGCATTCATGCAGTAAGAGCATCGAGATGAAGCTGTCGACAGTACAGTTGATTGGTCCTGTGCATATTCCACCGGAAAGTTGGATGACAAATGTGATTTCATAATTCGGACTCTTCTGGGCGTTGTAAGGATAAACGAAATGATAGACGAAGCTGCGTTGAGGCTGATGAATATTTTGATAAAGTTTCAGAAGATTAAGACATATGTAAAAAGAAATTGTGATCGTCATGGTTGCGTAACATCTAAAGGATAAGCTTCTGCCACGTCTCGCAAACCTCAGCATCGTATTTCGTTCGCGCTTGTTCGTCGAATTTATCCAATCGGTCATGACTGACATCATCAATGTTTGAAGTGCTTTTAAATTAAACACATATATTGATATATCAAATATATATAAATTAATATATACATATATAAATTGTCAAAAAGCGTAATATATCCAATTCATCTTTATATACAAAATACTAAACCTAAATGTTATACAATGACGGGCTTAGATGTAAATTAAAAAAAAATTCAACATTCATCTTATTTATGACAATAAAACAAATTTATCCAATATGTTTATTGTTGTAAAATAATTGCTTACTTTCGCTGTGATACCAAGTAACGAATAACTTGCTCAAAACCATCAAACCAAAATTGGCGGCGGCTATATCTTCCACCATAAGAGCTACATTACCCCAAACACGAATCACATGTATCAACTGCGGTATTACCATGTAAAAACTCAGAATAGACATAACGATTATGAATGTTATGTTTGGCCGACGAAGGTTGCTTAAAGGAATACGTGGATCGGGCCATACACCTAAGAGCCGCAAACATTGACGGCTCAGAGCAAACGCGTAACTCAAATCTAACAAAAATTCAAGTTTTAGATAAAATATCACAGCTTTACGTTGATTTAGAAGTAACATTATTATTTTACGTTATTTTCTAACATTTCCTTTTTCCACTTATATATTTTAAATAATCATATTTAATTTAAAACATTCTCAGAGATTATTTATTGTTTTTTTCACGTTTCTCAAATCTATTTATTAGATTAGCACTCGCGTATATTTTAGAATTTAAGTCACTGATATTTTCTTTCTAATTTTTCTTCTATGTTGTTATGTATGTGTGCATAGGCTATGGAGATATTTATCTTGTACTCGTGGGAGGCAATGCATATTAAAATTGATAAATATATAATACATAAGAAAGACAAAAGAATAATATTATTTTGTTGAGAAAGAAACAACAAGATTTAGATTTATTAAATCTCTGTTCATAAAATTTCTTTGTATTATTATCTTTCCAGGAAATATTGCTGTTTTTAACTTTCATAAACATTTTCTATTTTTCCGTTTACGCCAGAGGGAAACAAAGTACGACTCGTCTATAAGCATAAGTATACCCTTTGATTTTTATCATCATATCCAACTTCCTTACTGAAAAACACTTTAAATCAATCTACACGTTGAAAGTGAATATTTTTTGCTAATGTACAAAGTTTAAGCACCAACTCCGACAAACTGTCGTGAAACATGAAGTTTTATGAGAGATCTATAGACGCGAGTCTATAGACGGGAGTAGGTTTTAATTTTCGCGAATTTGTGAAACAAATTGTTAAGAACGACTTGTTTCCTTTATATTTAACAAGTAAACTGCAAATAATGCAAATATTATTACATAATATTTATTGCATTCAGAAAAAAGTTTAATAAATAACATGTTAAATAACAAACGGAATATATTCATCTCAAGAAGGCAAATATTTTTTTTTAATATTAATAAATTGAATAAACATTATATTCATTTATAATATAAAAGAAACAAAAAAAGTTGTATAAATGAGTTGTATATAAAAATTGAGAAAATATTAATTACAGCACATATCTTCGTATATTACGAATAATACATCACATAATTATTTTGTAACTTGTAAATTTTTCTTTCACACATTACCACTCGCGAATAGTAATTTAATAATAATTAATCTTTACCGAAATTCTATTTCATAACATAATGTGATTATATTTGTAGTTGCGGGGCGAATTCTTTTTTTCGAAATATATTCTACCTTTGTCGATATTCATTGAAGTTCACGGTATGAAAAGAGTAACATACTAATATCGACCAATCTTTTATTTCCAACAGCTGCTCAAAATCTGCGAAGAGATGTCACTAAAGCAAGAGTAAGACTAGGCTCAAGGAATACATATATGTAGTAAAAAATATCGTTTAATTATTGACTTTTATAAACACGATGTCGTACGCGTAGAAAGGTACAGAAATAAATATATTTTCATTGCCCGACGCGCGGATTGGCGATGACTCTAAAAAAGGCTATTTTTAATGATTTTTTTTCTGGTAAATAATTGTTTTTTTTCCAAATTGCGTTATTAACATCACAAAGTACATAATTTGAACTACCTTTTGTGAAATTTTCGTTAAAAAATATTAATATTTATAGCTACAATAGCCAATAGTGTGAGCCGCCTTAAAAAAAACGGGCGTATGCGTAGCGGGGCAACGAAAGCTCCAAAACAAAAAAAAAACAAAGATTTTCTTAACATATAAGACAATAGCTTCAGTTGCATTTATGGAATTTTCGATTGAATAATTTGTTTTTTTGTAATGTTAAAAACCAGAAATCAATGTCTCACCAATTTAGGAATTTTTTTTCTTCAAAAGTTCGCCATTTTGTAACAAATTATTTTTTTTTATATCCATATGTGCAACTGAAGCTATTGTCCTATATTTTAAGAAAATATTTGTTTTTTTTGTTTCAGAGCTTCCGTTGGACCGCTACGCGCGCGCCCGTTTTTTTTTTGGGGCGGCTCACACTATTGGCTATTGTAGTTATAAATATTAATATTTTTTAACAAAAATTTCAAAAAGTAGTTCAAATTATAGATTTCGTGATGTTAATAAAGCAATTTGAAAAAAAAACAATTATTCACTAGAAAAAAAATCCTTAAAAGTAGTATTTTTTTTCAGCCGTTACACTGGTTTCCCCCCTTTAATTGTTTAAGACTTATTTAGATGCTTATATTTAATTTTTATTTGTATTTATATTATTCGATGCGCTGGACAAAAAAGAGGGCCGAAATGTCCGCCTTTCGCGACTTTAAATTTTAATGTATTTCTTTTAAAATAAATATTTACGCGCCCTTAATACCGCGCTTGGCTCGTTTTGCCATTTTATTTTGACATTCTTGATTTTAATCGTTAAGAGACTTACATTCATATCTTGTTTTTATAAAAGTTTAGTTTAATATAATTATTATCTTAATGTATTTATAAGACAGAATAGGAAATAACGAACATGTATCATAGCGCAAAAATATGTTCAGCGAATATATGTGTATAAAGCTAGTCATTTAATTACTAGAAAATAAATAGTAGACAGTTATAAACACTCTGAGTTTGATTTTATAATATTTTCTAGATATATACACACACATATTATCTTCTCTCTATTTTCTATTATAGTTACTCTAATCTTTTATTGTCACTAACATAGATAAATATCCCATTGCCGTTTTCACCATCTAAATAAAGTAAAAATGAAAATTAAGATTTAAATTTTGTTTTATTTTTATGGTAAATAATGATTATATATAATATAACATGCATATGTAAAATATGATATGCAACATGTTTCACAATTATACAATACTTCTTTTTTTAATTGCATATTATGCAGATTAATTAGAATAAAAAATTCTTTTGCTCGAACGATGAAGTAAAAAGATTTAGAAAGAAAAAGATTCATCTTTGTTTTTATTGGAAGGTCCCATATAACACATAATATAACAGCAATATCACAGCAATATTATTTTTCCATAAAAATATTACAATAAGATATATCATGAATATTTCTGGAATATTACAAAAATATGACAGTAATATTAAAATGTTCGCCAAAATAAATCGCAATAATATAATGATGACATATCACAATTGAATTATTTATGTAATATTTCGAGGAATTAGGTCATTTAAATATTTTTATATTACAAATATATTGCAGTTGTATTATTATATTACTCCTCGAGGAATTGTTGTGACATTAAATATTATGTTAATACAATAAATATTATAATATTCCAACAAAGTAATCATTATTATATTAACATAATATTTCAAATAATGTTATTTGGAGGATTTATGCAATAAGACAACCACTCATGGTGACAGTTTTTTTTTTTTTGTAATCTCACAGAGACAATGACAAATTATTAAATATTATGGCAATAAATAATTTACTCACATGAGGAATATAATATATTTTTATCCATTAAAAATAAAGTTATCTTTGAAATCCATATTAGATGGTAGATTTTAATATGTATGTAAGTTACGAATTTGAGCGCGTGCTAATTATATGCTATATCAATCGGTCAACTTTAATTGCATATAACTCAAAAACATACTGTGTTATCGGCATTGTCGATTATTAAGATTTTTTATTTTAATTAATTCACAGATTTGAAGTATTGTATATGTACAGTAGTTTTAAAATATATTTTGTATATATAATTTTATATAATTAAGCAACAATATTTAATTAATAACGTATTAAGGAAACGATTATTTGTACAAACATTATACAAAAAATAATATATTTTAAAGAATAAATCTCTCACTGCTCCGAACAACTCCATCGAAAAATTTCCAAATTTTCCAGCTGTTAATTTAAGCGGTATTAAAGATCCATATGCAATAACCATTAAGTTCTTCGCATCTTTGGCCGGTATATTATACCACTTGCATTCATACACGCTATACGCCATACTAGTGTTCTGAAAATTACAATTTTTATTTTACACAAATCATGCTAACTTACACGCTAACAACTGTCTTACCTCTGTTAAGAGTCTTTCAGCTGAGTAGCAATAAATGTACAAATGCGTCAACACAAGAACAACATAAAACGAGATAAAAGCCATTTTGAAAACAGATACATCTAATTTGTCTATTATTATCTGAAGATATATATGTTTCTCTCAGCGCAAATGAATATAATTTTATAATTATACCGTAATATTAAAGTTAAATGTATTATAATGTGAGAAGGATTAACTTTATTATTATATATGTATGTGTATATATTTGTGTGTATATATATATATATATATATTATATACATATTATTTCTATATAAATAAATTGAATAATGTTTCTATTACAACATGCAAATATTCAAGTAAAAAGAGAATATACTTATATAGTTACTCTTATACTTATAAACATATTTAGAAGTCATTCTACTTACCGTGTAAATTCGAAAAGTTTGAAAACATAGTTGAAAAGTAGCTGCTAGCATATGCACAAATAGCACTGCGCTGTAACAGTTATTGATTGTCTTTACATTCCTTGAAAAATTATTTATATTATTCACTCGTTATAGAATGTTGATGTTACTATTATTATAATTTCAATATATATTAAGAGAATAAATGCGTTTGAAAATGACTAGAATATCAAAATCTTTTTTATTTATTTTTTTAAGGTAAAAGAAATATGATAAGATTATAAGATAATTTTCCTAAATGTTTTGGAATATATAAAATAATTTTTATAATACATGAATATATCTAAATAATTTCAAAAGAATATTGAAATAGTAATAAAAACAGCATCAAAACCTTCGAAAGGTTTTCCTATAAAATCATGTTTTATCACATTAAAATACATTTGTTTTTGGAAAACATACTAGTCCAATTGTCAATCATATTTTAATAAACAAACTATAAATAAATAAAGAAAACTATGAAGAAATAAATAAATATGATTTAATCGTTTGGTTTAATAAAATTAAATATAATTATAATATAATTTTATTAAAAGTTACGAGTGATTAATAGCCAAAATAATAATTTACTGATTTTATTGATTGGTATTTTATTAATTTTCAGTGAAAATACTCATACTTTGCTTCTCTGTCTTATGAGTTTCACTGGTTATGGCAATAAGATTTCATGAAAAATAAGCCATTACCACTAACTCGTTTTTTTCATTATCAGAAAGACTTCACTATTTGTAATGCTATACTAAAACCCTACTGCTGATCAGTGATAACACGCTGATTCTATTTAAGAGAGTAATATTAAGAAAAAAAAATATAGAGATAGATTGTTTTATTAAATAATTATGCAACTGTATTTCCTTAAAAAAAGTAATTTATTTTTAGTTTTTAGTAAAGTGGTTTGATTTTTCACTTTTTATCGTTTATATTTATATCTGACGAAATTTTAAAATATATTTAATGTTTAAAAGCCCATTATGTATATAGAATAATCTTGCTATATCAGAACAAATATTTGTTTATTAGGTATCGCATAAACATATATTTCTTCTAATATAATAATTACGAGAGAAATATGTATTACATTGTATTTTTAAATATTTTATAAAATTATTCCACAAATACTTTGAGACATACCTGATAAGATGTTTATGTCGTACAGCAACGGCGGCTAAGTCTTCTTTAAATTTCGGATAGGATATAGATTTATTGGCTAGTTCATCGATTGAATTGTTGAGTGCCACTCGTAGATTTATTAGTTGCGCGCATACATGCAGCAAGAGCATCGAGATGAAACTGTCGACGGTACAATTGATTAGTGCCGTGTATATTCCGCCGAAAAGTTGGATGACAAATGTGATTTCGTAATTCGGACTCTTCTGGGCGTTGTAAGGATAAACAAAATGATAGACGAAGCTCCGTTGAGGCTGATGAATATTTTGATAAAGTTTCAGAAGATTAAAACATATGTAAAAGGAAACTGTGATCGTCGCGATTGCGTAACATTTAAAAGATAAGCTTCTGCCACGTCTCGCGAACCTCAGCATCGTATTTCGTTCACGCTTATTCGTCGAACTTGTCCAATCGGTCATGACTGACATCATCAATGTTCGAAGTGCTTTCAAATTAAACACACACATATATTGATACGTTAAATATATGTAGGCAAGTCAAATATAAACCGAACTTTTTCCAAAACGTTTTATTCTATCAACTTATTTATAATAAAAACAGAAATTTGTTTAATATATTTATTGTTGCAAAATAATTGCTTACTTTCACTGTGATACCAAGTAGCGAATAACTTGCTCAATGCCATCAAACTAAAATTGGCGGCAGCTATATCTTCCACCATGCGAGCCACATTACCCCAAACACGAATCATATTTATTAACTGTGGTATTATCACGTAAAAACTCAGAATACACGTAACAATTATGAATGTTATGCTTGGCCGACGAAAGTTGCTTAAAGGAACACGTGGATCGGGCCATACGCCTAACAGCCGCAAACATTGACGGCTCAAGGTAAACGCGTAACTCAAATCTAAGAAATCCAAATTTTATAAATAATGTTAACACTTAACTCGAATAAAATCTTTTTTTTCTTCAAAACTTTCTTTCTTTTGGAATATCATTTTCATACATTTTCTTTTCTTATATTAATAATTTAACAATGAGTTTATAAGCTGCATGATATTTTTTATTCACGTTTCATGAAATCGTAGGAGTGACAGTAAACTTTTCTTGTATTTTGCTCACTTTATTGTAAAACACTATAAAAATGACATTAATATTAGTCTTATATTTGGTAGTAAATAATAATATAAATAAATAATGAATTTAAAAAAATATATAATACTATTTTGTTAAAATAAGGTTTTATATGTTTAACAATAATTTATTTGTGCTTTAAAATACACTATTTTTACAGTTATGCTCTAATGCTTTCTTCGTTTAAAGAGTAAATCTTTTTTCGCAAGAGACATATTTCTGCAAGATTTTGCATTATCATTCTGACGTAAAATCGATGTTTCATTTTTGCTTTATATTCCCAGAAGTTAAACTTTTCTGAAACTTTGCTTATATGAGAGGAAACAAAGAACGATTCGTGCACAACTCAGTCATTTGATTTATGCACTAGGCAACTTTGCAACTCAAAAACGTGTTCAATCTACGCTTAGAAAGCAAACATCTTTTGCTAACGTATAAAGTTTAATATCAACTCTGACAAACTTTCATGGAACATGAAGTTTTAGAAGTGATCTATAGACGACTACAAAAAACCATAACTCTTGCGAACGTTTGTGATAAATAGCTAATTGTAAGAGCAAAATGTTTCCTTTATTTAATAAATAATCTTCAATTATGTAATTATTATTATATATTATTTGCTCTCACATCTTTGTTAGTTAATAAATAACATGTTAAGTAACAAACCAGATATAGTCACATTAGATGAAAAAAATTTTTTTGTTATGTTAACAAAATATATAAGCACACATATAAAATAAAAATAAAATATTTTAAATTTAATCAGCAACAGTATAAAATTTAAAAAAATATGAAAGACAACATATATCTTCCAATATAAACTGACGGAAATGAAAATTCCAACACCAAGAAGGAGTTATACTAAGTGAAAATTACACAGAATGTTTGTTCACATAAGTATTTACTTATTTATTTTTATTTTTTTTTATTTATAATACATACATGCATACATACATGCATACATACATGCATACATACATGCATACATACATGCATACATACATGCATACATACATGCATACATACATGCATACATACATGCATACATACATGCATACATACATGCATACATACATGCATACATACATGCATACATACATGCATACATACATGCATACATACATGCATACATACATGCATACATACATGCATACATACATGCATACATACATGCATACATACATGCATACATACATGCATACATACATGCATACATACATGCATACATACATGCATACATACATGCATACATACATGCATACATACATGCATACATACATGCATACATACATGCATACATACATGCATACATACATGCATACATACATGCATACATACATGCATACATACATGCATACATACATGCATACATACATGCATACATACATGCATACATACATGCATACATACATGCATACATACATGCATACATACATGCATACATACATGCATACATACATGCATACATACATGCATACATACATGCATACATACATGCATACATACATGCATACATACATGCATACATACATGCATACATACATGCATACATACATGCATACATACATGCATACATACATGCATACATACATGCATACATACATGCATACATACATGCATACATACATGCATACATACATGCATACATACATGCATACATACATGCATACATACATGCATACATACATGCATACATACATGCATACATACATGCATACATACATGCATACATACATGCATACATACATGCATACATACATGCATACATACATGCATACATACATGCATACATACATGCATACATACATGCATACATACATGCATACATACATGCATACATACATGCATACATACATGCATACATACATGCATACATACATGCATACATACATGCATACATACATGCATACATACATGCATACATACATGCATACATACATGCATACATACATGCATACATACATGCATACATACATGCATACATACATGCATACATACATGCATACATACATGCATACATACATGCATACATACATGCATACATACATGCATACATACATGCATACATACATGCATACATACATGCATACATACATGCATACATACATGCATACATACATGCATACATACATGCATACATACATGCATACATACATGCATACATACATGCATACATACATGCATACATACATGCATACATACATGCATACATACATGCATACATACATGCATACATACATGCATACATACATGCATACATACATGCATACATACATGCATACATACATGCATACATACATGCATACATACATGCATACATACATGCATACATACATGCATACATACATGCATACATACATGCATACATACATGCATACATACATGCATACATACATGCATACATACATGCATACATACATGCATACATACATGCATACATACATGCATACATACATGCATACATACATGCATACATACATGCATACATACATGCATACATACATGCATACATACATGCATACATACATGCATACATACATGCATACATACATGCATACATACATGCATACATACATGCATACATACATGCATACATACATGCATACATACATGCATACATACATGCATACATACATGCATACATACATGCATACATACATGCATACATACATGCATACATACATGCATACATACATGCATACATACATGCATACATACATGCATACATACATGCATACATACATGCATACATACATGCATACATACATGCATACATACATGCATACATACATGCATACATACATGCATACATACATGCATACATACATGCATACATACATGCATACATACATGCATACATACATGCATACATACATGCATACATACATGCATACATACATGCATACATACATGCATACATACATGCATACATACATGCATACATACATGCATACATACATGCATACATACATGCATACATACATGCATACATACATGCATACATACATGCATACATACATGCATACATACATGCATACATACATGCATACATACATGCATACATACATGCATACATACATGCATACATACATGCATACATACATGCATACATACATGCATACATACATGCATACATACATGCATACATACATGCATACATACATGCATACATACATGCATACATACATGCATACATACATGCATACATACATGCATACATACATGCATACATACATGCATACATACATGCATACATACATGCATACATACATGCATACATACATGCATACATACATGCATACATACATGCATACATACATGCATACATACATGCATACATACATGCATACATACATGCATACATACATGCATACATACATGCATACATACATGCATACATACATGCATACATACATGCATACATACATGCATACATACATGCATACATACATGCATACATACATGCATACATACATGCATACATACATGCATACATACATGCATACATACATGCATACATACATGCATACATACATGCATACATACATGCATACATACATGCATACATACATGCATACATACATGCATACATACATGCATACATACATGCATACATACATGCATACATACATGCATACATACATGCATACATACATGCATACATACATGCATACATACATGCATACATACATGCATACATACATGCATACATACATGCATACATACATGCATACATACATGCATACATACATGCATACATACATGCATACATACATGCATACATACATGCATACATACATGCATACATACATGCATACATACATGCATACATACATGCATACATACATGCATACATACATGCATACATACATGCATACATACATGCATACATACATGCATACATACATGCATACATACATGCATACATACATGCATACATACATGCATACATACATGCATACATACATGCATACATACATGCATACATACATGCATACATACATGCATACATACATGCATACATACATGCATACATACATGCATACATACATGCATACATACATGCATACATACATGCATACATACATGCATACATACATGCATACATACATGCATACATACATGCATACATACATGCATACATACATGCATACATACATGCATACATACATGCATACATACATGCATACATACATGCATACATACATGCATACATACATGCATACATACATGCATACATACATGCATACATACATGCATACATACATGCATACATACATGCATACATACATGCATACATACATGCATACATACATGCATACATACATGCATACATACATGCATACATACATGCATACATACATGCATACATACATGCATACATACATGCATACATACATGCATACATACATGCATACATACATGCATACATACATGCATACATACATGCATACATACATGCATACATACATGCATACATACATGCATACATACATGCATACATACATGCATACATACATGCATACATACATGCATACATACATGCATACATACATGCATACATACATGCATACATACATGCATACATACATGCATACATACATGCATACATACATGCATACATACATGCATACATACATGCATACATACATGCATACATACATGCATACATACATGCATACATACATGCATACATACATGCATACATACATGCATACATACATGCATACATACATGCATACATACATGCATACATACATGCATACATACATGCATACATACATGCATACATACATGCATACATACATGCATACATACATGCATACATACATGCATACATACATGCATACATACATGCATACATACATGCATACATACATGCATACATACATGCATACATACATGCATACATACATGCATACATACATGCATACATACATGCATACATACATGCATACATACATGCATACATACATGCATACATACATGCATACATACATGCATACATACATGCATACATACATGCATACATACATGCATACATACATGCATACATACATGCATACATACATGCATACATACATGCATACATACATGCATACATACATGCATACATACATGCATACATACATGCATACATACATGCATACATACATGCATACATACATGCATACATACATGCATACATACATGCATACATACATGCATACATACATGCATACATACATGCATACATACATGCATACATACATGCATACATACATGCATACATACATGCATACATACATGCATACATACATGCATACATACATGCATACATACATGCATACATACATGCATACATACATGCATACATACATGCATACATACATGCATACATACATGCATACATACATGCATACATACATGCATACATACATGCATACATACATGCATACATACATGCATACATACATGCATACATACATGCATACATACATGCATACATACATGCATACATACATGCATACATACATGCATACATACATGCATACATACATGCATACATACATGCATACATACATGCATACATACATGCATACATACATGCATACATACATGCATACATACATGCATACATACATGCATACATACATGCATACATACATGCATACATACATGCATACATACATGCATACATACATGCATACATACATGCATACATACATGCATACATACATGCATACATACATGCATACATACATGCATACATACATGCATACATACATGCATACATACATGCATACATACATGCATACATACATGCATACATACATGCATACATACATGCATACATACATGCATACATACATGCATACATACATGCATACATACATGCATACATACATGCATACATACATGCATACATACATGCATACATACATGCATACATACATGCATACATACATGCATACATACATGCATACATACATGCATACATACATGCATACATACATGCATACATACATGCATACATACATGCATACATACATGCATACATACATGCATACATACATGCATACATACATGCATACATACATGCATACATACATGCATACATACATGCATACATACATGCATACATACATGCATACATACATGCATACATACATGCATACATACATGCATACATACATGCATACATACATGCATACATACATGCATACATACATGCATACATACATGCATACATACATGCATACATACATGCATACATACATGCATACATACATGCATACATACATGCATACATACATGCATACATACATGCATACATACATGCATACATACATGCATACATACATGCATACATACATGCATACATACATGCATACATACATGCATACATACATGCATACATACATGCATACATACATGCATACATACATGCATACATACATGCATACATACATGCATACATACATGCATACATACATGCATACATACATGCATACATACATGCATACATACATGCATACATACATGCATACATACATGCATACATACATGCATACATACATGCATACATACATGCATACATACATGCATACATACATGCATACATACATGCATACATACATGCATACATACATGCATACATACATGCATACATACATGCATACATACATGCATACATACATGCATACATACATGCATACATACATGCATACATACATGCATACATACATGCATACATACATGCATACATACATGCATACATACATGCATACATACATGCATACATACATGCATACATACATGCATACATACATGCATACATACATGCATACATACATGCATACATACATGCATACATACATGCATACATACATGCATACATACATGCATACATACATGCATACATACATGCATACATACATGCATACATACATGCATACATACATGCATACATACATGCATACATACATGCATACATACATGCATACATACATGCATACATACATGCATACATACATGCATACATACATGCATACATACATGCATACATACATGCATACATACATGCATACATACATGCATACATACATGCATACATACATGCATACATACATGCATACATACATGCATACATACATGCATACATACATGCATACATACATGCATACATACATGCATACATACATGCATACATACATGCATACATACATGCATACATACATGCATACATACATGCATACATACATGCATACATACATGCATACATACATGCATACATACATGCATACATACATGCATACATACATGCATACATACATGCATACATACATGCATACATACATGCATACATACATGCATACATACATGCATACATACATGCATACATACATGCATACATACATGCATACATACATGCATACATACATGCATACATACATGCATACATACATGCATACATACATGCATACATACATGCATACATACATGCATACATACATGCATACATACATGCATACATACATGCATACATACATGCATACATACATGCATACATACATGCATACATACATGCATACATACATGCATACATACATGCATACATACATGCATACATACATGCATACATACATGCATACATACATGCATACATACATGCATACATACATGCATACATACATGCATACATACATGCATACATACATGCATACATACATGCATACATACATGCATACATACATGCATACATACATGCATACATACATGCATACATACATGCATACATACATGCATACATACATGCATACATACATGCATACATACATGCATACATACATGCATACATACATGCATACATACATGCATACATACATGCATACATACATGCATACATACATGCATACATACATGCATACATACATGCATACATACATGCATACATATAATACATGCATACATACATACATTTTTTAGGATTATGATTTCTCGATGTTTTAGAACATTCTGAATACATTGGCATTAAAAACTCGAAAAAAAATGTTGTCACGGAAACAAAGCTTCCTCTATAAGGAAGCGAAAATTGGATATATGAACCTACTCTTTTAAACTGAATCAATGAAAATTTTATTGATTAAAACTGTCAAAATTTCGCTGCAAATCAGTGATTATTTTATTGATTTTCAGTGAAAATACTCATACTTTGCTTCTCCGTCTTATGAGTTTCACTGGTTATGGTAATAAGATTTTACTGAAAAATCAGCCATTACCACCAACTCGTTTTTTTTTATCAGTAAGACATCACTATTTGTAATGCTATACTAAAACCCTACTGCTGATCAGTGATAACACGCTGATTCTATTTAAGAGAGTAATATTAAGAAAAAAAAATATAGAGATAGATTGTTTTATTAAATAATTATGCAACTGTATTTCCTTAAAAAAAGTAATTTATTTTTAGTTTTTAGTAAAGTGGTTTGATTTTTCACTTTTTATCGTTTATATTTATATCTGACGAAATTTTAAAATATATTTAATGTTTAAAAGCCCATTATGTATATAGAATAATCTTGCTATATCAGAACAAATATTTGTTTATTAGGTATCGCATAAACATATATTTCTTCTAATATAATAATTACGAGAGAAATATGTATTACATTGTATTTTTAAATATTTTATAAAATTATTCCACAAATACTTTGAGACATACCTGATAAGATGTTTATGTCGTACAGCAACGGCGGCTAAGTCTTCTTTAAATTTCGGATAGGATATAGATTTATTGGCTAGTTCATCGATTGAATTGTTGAGTGCCACTCGTAGATTTATTAGTTGCGCGCATACATGCAGCAAGAGCATCGAGATGAAACTGTCGACGGTACAATTGATTAGTGCCGTGTATATTCCGCCGAAAAGTTGGATGACAAATGTGATTTCGTAATTCGGACTCTTCTGGGCGTTGTAAGGATAAACAAAATGATAGACGAAGCTCCGTTGAGGCTGATGAATATTTTGATAAAGTTTCAGAAGATTAAAACATATGTAAAAGGAAACTGTGATCGTCGCGATTGCGTAACATTTAAAAGATAAGCTTCTGCCACGTCTCGCGAACCTCAGCATCGTATTTCGTTCACGCTTATTCGTCGAACTTGTCCAATCGGTCATGACTGACATCATCAATGTTCGAAGTGCTTTCAAATTAAACACACACATATATTGATACGTTAAATATATGTAGGCAAGTCAAATATAAACCGAACTTTTTCCAAAACGTTTTATTCTATCAACTTATTTATAATAAAAACAGAAATTTGTTTAATATATTTATTGTTGCAAAATAATTGCTTACTTTCACTGTGATACCAAGTAGCGAATAACTTGCTCAATGCCATCAAACTAAAATTGGCGGCAGCTATATCTTCCACCATGCGAGCCACATTACCCCAAACACGAATCATATTTATTAACTGTGGTATTATCACGTAAAAACTCAGAATACACGTAACAATTATGAATGTTATGCTTGGCCGACGAAAGTTGCTTAAAGGAACACGTGGATCGGGCCATACGCCTAACAGCCGCAAACATTGACGGCTCAAGGTAAACGCGTAACTCAAATCTAAGAAATCCAAATTTTATAAATAATGTTAACACTTAACTCGAATAAAATCTTTTTTTTCTTCAAAACTTTCTTTCTTTTGGAATATCATTTTCATACATTTTCTTTTCTTATATTAATAATTTAACAATGAGTTTATAAGCTGCATGATATTTTTTATTCACGTTTCATGAAATCGTAGGAGTGACAGTAAACTTTTCTTGTATTTTGCTCACTTTATTGTAAAACACTATAAAAATGACATTAATATTAGTCTTATATTTGGTAGTAAATAATAATATAAATAAATAATGAATTTAAAAAAATATATAATACTATTTTGTTAAAATAAGGTTTTATATGTTTAACAATAATTTATTTGTGCTTTAAAATACACTATTTTTACAGTTATGCTCTAATGCTTTCTTCGTTTAAAGAGTAAATCTTTTTTCGCAAGAGACATATTTCTGCAAGATTTTGCATTATCATTCTGACGTAAAATCGATGTTTCATTTTTGCTTTATATTCCCAGAAGTTAAACTTTTCTGAAACTTTGCTTATATGAGAGGAAACAAAGAACGATTCGTGCACAACTCAGTCATTTGATTTATGCACTAGGCAACTTTGCAACTCAAAAACGTGTTTAATCTACGCTTAGAAAGCAAACATCTTTTGCTAACGTATAAAGTTTAATATCAACTCTGACAAACTTTCATGGAACATGAAGTTTTAGAAGTGATCTATAGACGACTACAAAAAACCATAACTCTTGCGAACGTTTGTGATAAATAGCTAATTGTAAGAGCAAAATGTTTCCTTTATTTAATAAATAATCTTCAATTATGTAATTATTATTATATATTATTTGCTCTCACATCTTTGTTAGTTAATAAATAACATGTTAAGTAACAAACCAGATATAGTCACATTAGATGAAAAAAATTTTTTTGTTATGTTAACAAAATATATAAGCACACATATAAAATAAAAATAAAATATTTTAAATTTAATCAGCAACAGTATAAAATTTAAAAAAATATGAAAGACAACATATATCTTCCAATATAAACTGACGGAAATGAAAATTCCAACACCAAGAAGGAGTTATACCATACACGGTATGCATGAAAACTCCGACTACGTTCGATGGATTGACTTTAAATTTTATATGCGAGTTTCTAATAAGATTCCGCATCTGCCAACGAATCTTTTTTTTAATTCGATTTCTCATTTATTTGTTATACAAAAAAAAAAGAAACTTTTTTTCAAAAAAACGAGAACTTTTTTTTCAACACGTCGCCATTTTTTTATTTTTTAAAATTTTGAAAAAATGCTTGGATAGCAGATAGCTATTACAATATTTAATAAAAAAAAATTTGGATTTTTAATTTCAGATATGATCTACGAACGTTTTCATGTACACTGTTCAGCCATCTAAAATTTGGTGGAGCTCTACAAATATCCCCATAAATTTAAAAAAAAAGATTTTTTTTTAAGCTGAATGTTTTTATTTTAGTAGTTAATAATATTGTATTAATATCGTTAAAAAATTAAAAATTTTTATCGAGTCGTTGCGCTGCAAGAAAATCTAGAAAATGTACTCATTTTTTGAGATTTCAAACGGGTATGACCTCTTAAGATTTAAAGAAATAAGCGGACACTTTAATGCTATTTTTTATCTTGATTCATAAACTTATGCGAATACTAACGGGGCTATATTCATACAAATTACTGCTTTTCAAAAACATTTTGCGTTATTTCTAAAATAAATATTTATCATTGTAATCGTTATTGCAATTTACTAATTGTTAATTTTGTACTAACAATTCATAAATAATTAACAGAAGAATAATATCAAAGTAAGAATGTTTTTGATTTTTATCGATTATTAAAATTATATTAGATTTAAAGTCTTTTTTAATATAGTGTAATAATATATTTTTATATGAAAATATATAGGAAACTTGATAACTAGAGAAACACTACTTTAAAGTTACGAAAATTTACAATGTACTTTATTTGACTTTACAAATGGTTCGAATCATTTGATATATCAATTAATACCAAAATGACAATAACTTCTTTTTATTAATTAATTAAGTAAAAATAAGTTGAATATGCAGAATAACTTTTTTTATAATGTCTTATTTCTGGGAAAATTAATTGTGAAAATAGGTAATATATTTCTACTTTTGTGTAGTCTTAAAGAATCTTAGTTTTAAAGAGTCTCTGACAAACTTGTGTTATACATTTATCTCGATTAATTGCAAGCCTATTGAAATAGAACATAAAAGAATACAATATTCCCTCTAATTCTAAAAAAAAAAATAATTTATTCTAATAACTTTTTATATTACTTAATGTTGAATTATTTTAAATTGTTCTATTAAATATATTCGAAATGAATTTAAACAGTAAATATAATATTTACAAAGTTATTGGAAATCATTTAACAGTTTCAAATATGTAAATATTTTATTTACTTTTCAAATTTCAAAGCCAATTTTCTCGAGAGAACATGATCTCGAAAAAATTTTATTTTTCATATTTTCGATTAATGTTGTATAATAATCCTTAATTATAGGTTGTACTACGACTAGATTCCAGTTATACTGGAACATTTTGTATTTCTATAATCGGCGCATTGACGATGATTCTATTTTTATATTAGTAACATTCATAATTCATATACATTATTTTAATCACTTCTGATTATATTTTATATTATCTCAATATATCAAATTAAATTATATAACATAAAATTAAATACATTTCATACATATGTTAGAAATAATAC